AGTTTCAGATCGGGAGAATAATGAAGGTATACGTGGATGATATGCTGGTAAAAAGCCTCACCACAGGAGACCACATAGACCACCTTCAAGAAACCTTTGATGTTCTCAGGTCATACTACATGAAGCTGAACTCTGAGAAGTGCGTTTTTTGTGTCGGATTAGGAAAGTTCTTGGGCTTCATGATCAACTAAAGGGAAATTGAGGTGAATCCTGACAAGATCAAAGCCATCCTGGATATGAAATCACCAACCACAACCAAGGAGCTCCAACACCTCAACGGAAGAATCGCAGCACTCAACAGATTTGTTTCCAAGTCTGCAGATAAGTTCTTGCTCTTTTTCAAGATTCTCTGGCAAGCCTTTGAGTGGGGACCTGAGGTAGAAGAAGCTTTTCAAAAGCTCAAAGCTTATTTGGCTATGCTCCCGCTCCTTTCACATGCTACGCTAGGTGAAATCTTACACTTGTATCTCTCTGCTTCCCCATCGGCAATAAGCTCCGTCCTTATCAGGGACAACGAAGGAGTGCAAAAACCTATTTATTATGAGAACAGGGCATATCGAGGAGTAGAAATAAGATATTCAGGGTTAGAAAACTCGTGCTCGCCCTGATCTCAGCAGTAAGGCGTCTCCGACATTACTTCCTAAGTCACACCATCATTGTTGTCATAGACCAGCCTCTAAAGAGGGTTCTGGGGAAGTCAGATATCTCGGGAAGACTCCTTAAATGAGCAGTAGAGCTGAGCGAGTTCGATGTCTAGTACCAACCAAAGAAAGCTATCGAAGCACAAGTCTTGGCAAACTTTGTTGCCAAGCTCACACCGGCAAGAAAAGAATGCAGTGAACCTTTGAAATCTTCACCAAATATGTAGGAAGCCCCATCAGGAGTCCAACCAGAGACCCAGGTGCCCCCAAAAAATGCTTTAGCCTCACAAGTGCCTAGCCCTAGCGCCCTAACAAACAGGCACCCTGCCTGGGCGTCCAAGGCATCTTGGTGCCCACCATGGTCTGCAAGGCCCCTTTTCTACCACCTCCTTGTGAGATTTATGTGAATGGCTCTTCCACTAGTAAGGGAGATAGGAGTAGACCTAATCCTGATTAGCCCCAATGGTACTCCCATCAAGTATGATGTGAAACTTCACTTTACAACCTCCAATAATGAGGTAGAATATGAAGCTCTCCTCTCTGACTTAAGGTTGGCAATTGAAATGGGAGCCCAACACCTCAACACTTAAAGTGAATCTCAGCTGATAGTTAACCAAGTAAAGGGCGAGTTCGAAACAAAAGGAACCAAAATGGAGCAGTACCTTGCTATAGTGCAAGCCTTGCTGACTAAATTCCACTACTTTCAGATTTGTCACATCCCAATGAAAGACAATATCGCCGTAGATGCATTTGCTAGGCTCGCCTCATCCTCAGAAGCTTCACTAGGACCAGCATTCATCGGTCACCAGTTCGAGCCAAGTAAGCTAGATGCAGAAGCCAGTAGCGTCAACTGCACATCTGCCGAGACCAATTGGATGACCCCAATAAAGGCATACCTTCAGGAGGGCGTGTTTCCAAATGACTTGTTGGAAGCTAAGAAGCTCAGGATGAGAGCCTCCAAGTTCACCATTTTGTAGGTCATCCTGTACAAAAAGGGCTACTTCTTAACACTGCTACGATGCCTTTGCCCAGAAGAAGTAGACTAAGCCCTACGAAAAATCCATGAAGGAGTTTATGAAAACCACTCTAGAGGATGTTCCCTCGCCCACAAGGCACTCAAGCAGGGCTACTTCTGGTCTAGTATGGTTAGGGATGCATAGGAGTACACCAAAAAATGCAACAAGTGCCAACGTTTCGCTATTGTACTCAAGCAGCCACCAGAGGAACTAACAGCCATCACAAGTCCATGACCCTTCTCCAAATGGGGCATCGAAATCTTGGTCCCTCTACCAAAATGGGGCATCGAAATGGGGCAAGGGGCAGTGCAAGTTCGTGGTAGTAGCCGTTGACTACTTCACAGAGTGGGCGGAGGCCGAACCCTTAGCAAATATTACAGATGCAAAGGCCAAGGATTTCATCTGGAAGAACTTGGTCTGCCGCTTTGGAGTACCCCCATGCTATAGTTAGTGACAACGCCATGCAATTCAACAACAAGCTCCTGAACTCGTTCTGCACCGACCTCTAGATAAAATAGCCTCATTCCAGCCTAGTGCACTCTCAGGTGAACAGGCAGGCAGAGGACACTGTCAAAACAGTACTACGCAACCTAAAGATGAGGCTGAAAAAAATAAAGGGTTGTTGGGTGGACGAACTCCCAAGTGTATTATGAGCTTATTGAACGTCACCAAGGGCTTCGATTAGAGAAACTCCTTTCTCACTCGCCTTTGGAACTAAGACACTCGTACCTATGAAAATCAGGGTACATTCTCTAAGGGTCCAACACCACGACCCCATCATTAACGAGGAAGGACTCTACATCAATCTCGTCTTGGTGGAGGATGAAAGAAAGATGTCAATGGTTTGGAATGCGGGATATAAGCGTCGCATGACAAGATACTACAACTCGAGGGTGAAGTCTCTTTCCTTCCAACCAAGAGACCTAGTCCTCAAGAAATTAATCCTCGCTATGAAGGATTTGTAAGAAGGAAAGCTTGGACCAAATTGGAAAAGACCCTACCTCATAACAGAAGTAGTGATGCTAGTCACCTATAGGATCCAGAATTCCGAGGGGAAGGTCTTACCCCATCCAGGGAATGCCGAGCATCTGAAGAGGGACTACCAATGATTCCTTAGGAAGGTAGAAGTAGTAAAGCTGGAGAACTTGATTTTATTTCTTGTACCTTTTTTGGGTTATTACCTATTATTGCTTAGCATAAGCAGTCATCGAATAAAATTTTCTAAATTTACTTCAAAAGTTCTTTGCATTCTTGCATTCTATTTCAAAAGAACATCAGTAGTAAAAAACCATTTTTACAAAAGGAGACTACAGACTGCCTTTCTAAAAAAATAAGAAAAATCAAAAAGTCCCCAGCACTCTAACTACTCTCATGGCCGTCATCCTCAGTGTGCTCGTCCTCGACCTCGCCCTCTACATCATCAGAGTCATCATCATCATCAAGTGCCTCATATGGCACAAAGTCTGAAAGGTCAATATCAGGGAAAACCGTAGAAATATTTTTTTGAAACTCCTCATAGTGATCAATGAAGGCATTTGCAAGACCACTCTCTAAATCAGCCTCAACCTTGACGACCCTCTCATAGCCAATAGTAGATCAACCTCAGCCCAAGAAACCCTCTCGCGAGCTGCCTTCACCTCTACCTTCTCTCTCAAGCAGGCAGCCTCTCTGAGCACGGCCTTCTCGTGGGTCACCACATGCTCAGGATCAAGCTTAGCCTCCCTCTCACAGGTCACCACAAGCTCTATTTCAGCCCTCGTGCAAGCAGCCTCACTAAGTGCGACCTTCCCACAAGCTCAGCTTGAAAAGCCCTACCATCAGCCTCAAGCTCAACAATCCTCCCCTAAGAAGTAAGAAGCTCCTTTTGCACAACCTCATGACTCTGCTTCAATTGACTAAAATGAATAGCCCTTGAAAAGAGACACATAGAGGAAGCTGAAACCTGAAGAAGACAAAAGAATGTTAGTACCTAAGGAGGAACTGGAGAAAGGGAAAAAGCAGACCCTTACCTGAGCCAGACCTTCAAGAACAGTGTCAATGACACTCTCAGTGCCCTAAGCACTAACCTCACTAATTTCTGTTGGAAAAAAAAACCTCCCAAGTCGCTCCCTGACGATTCACACATCACCCAACATAAAGCCAGTCTAAACAAGTGCTCTTGTAGAAGTCCCTATAGGCGGAGTCGATGAACGGGGGACAGGAGGTGTGGCCGACAGGGGAGTCTATGGAGTGACTGTCACCTCTGAATGATTCGTTGAGTGAGGAGGCGCTACTGGAGGGGTCATCTTAGAAGGGCTCGCCAAAGTGTTGCTGACCCTCGCTATCTTAGGAGGAGTACTCCTAGTGGAATAACGGGACTCCACTACTGTCATGTCCACTATGGAAGGATAGAAGTGTTATCCTAATGAAAGACCAATCAAATGAGGAGAATACAATGGAATCAGCATACCCTTTCTCTTTAAAGATGAACCACTTGGTCTCGAAGAGGGTGTACCAGCCCTAGCACTACTTATATGAGAGTCTCTAGCTCCACCCTATTTGAGCATAATAGCTCCAAAGTCTTCACGAGGTGAGCCTTCATAGCCTACAACTTCCATTCTTGATCTTTCAAGAGCACTGGGGAACTTGGAAGGGATATGATGAGTACACATTTGCAAAAATTGAAGGAAAAAAGAGAAGAATGGGCGTACCAATTCTCTTAGGAGTGTCCCATCTTGTTGGTACCAAAGCTCTGTCAGTCTCAGAAGTCCATTCTCCTCCAACAAATATAAAACAAGCCTTCTGCTATGATAGTTAGAGCGTAACACAGTGATCAATTTTCCTCCCATTGGAGTACATTAGAATTAGCCACGATTGAGAGAAGTAGTTTCACTCAAAGTATAAGCTGCACATAACTCCTTAGGAGAAGCATCCTCATGATGCACCCTTCTCGACAGTGCTAGAAACCCTAGCAAAACTCTCTAACTGTTGGGCGCCAACTGCCCTAGCGCAAATAAAAAGTAATGTAGAATGCGATAAAGAGAGGAAGACATTGGGAACCTCAGCCCAACCTCAAGCACCTCCTCATAGATAGAAAGGTTTCCAGAGGAGTCATCACAAGCAGGATCTCCCATCTTGGCTCGACAAAATGACAATTCGCAAAATATCAGCATCAGTATTGAGGGTACTAGAAATGGTACTTACTTTTAATCTGTCATCATCAAGAGCTACTTTTCCCCGATGTTTGCTGCTACGGGGATGAGAAACATTCCCCGGGCCACTAACAGGGGATCCTGGTGGAATCTGACTCTGTGGAGTTCCACCTGAACCAACCAAATCATCCATTAGACCAGAGTTATCACTGCTAGCATTCTTTCTGCGTACTCTGCTCCAAAGCTCTGTGCCTAGCACCCACCATGCATGGCGCCACTTGCGGGCTCCGCTGCTTGCACCTAACACTCAACAACACCCCTTCTCTGCAATTAGCAGGGTTGCCTGCCCCTAGCATTGACTAGCATTAATGACGTCTGGCAGGGTTGCCTCGCCAATGACGTCTGTTTGGGCAGCCTCACCTTCAGCGTCCAGCTGGGCTGCCTCGTGTCCATCATCTAAGCTCGCCACCTGTAGCCGGTGCCCAGCCTTGGCATGCTCGAACCACTGTGATTGGCCTGCTCTAGCGCACATGGCACCTTCCAGACGACACCTCTCTAGAAGGAGCCTCGGCCAACGCTGCCACTCCCAAAGGCGTCTCGACCAGCTACGCCTCACCCAGCGGCGCTTCGACCTCGGCGCCAATCACTTGGGTCGCCTCTTCTTCGAGCCTTGACGTCTGGGTGACCTCACCTCTGATGCCTACCTGGACTTCTAGCCCTCAAACTCCGACTGTTCCTCTTGTTTTGACAGAGACCGCCTGAGTTTTTGCATCCACTCAGATCAATCCATCGTAAATCTCCTCTCCTTCACTTGACATCATCTCGGAGTACTAAAATCAGGAATGAGATCACTAATCTTCCCTCTTGCCTTTGTCCTTGGGGACCTCACTAGAAGCCCTCTCTCAAAATGAATAAAATGAGGAGAGAAATAAGAAACCCCCAATTTATGGCCAAGGGCCTTTTGAAATACCAAAAAGAAATAAAATGGGGGGAGTTTATATAGCTCGAGATGTCCTACAGAGCTAAAATATATCAGGAATGAAGGAGGAGCCTTAGTATGTGATTAAGAAAATCGAAATCCAGTCGAAGTGCAACATGGACGTAGCATGATTGTTCTCAGATTGCTAGAGAGTCCTTGTTGGGTTGAAACTGATTGCCTTGACATTGACTTTGTTTCCTTAGTCAAGAGGAGTCTTCGTGAGTCAGAATTCAAATTCAACTAAATGATCTCTTCTCTAAGTTTTATTGGACTCAGGGCATTAGGGGGGCAAATGATGGGCCAGGCCCAACTAGACGAGATCCAATGGGTCTAGTCCAAAAGAGGTCCATGACCAGTCAAGTTCATTAGGTTTCGAGGAGCTACATCGCCAAGGGAGTAAGCAGGGTTATCCAAGAGCCTCATTCATGCCTTGGAAGAAGTCAATCACCACGTCATTCTTTGACCTAATCTTAAGGGGAGCTCTGTAACTGACTCATCCGTTGAGAAGATAGCGCCAGCTCCATCAGATTCGCTACTTAGTTACTGAAAAGACATCTCAATCTGTTAAGAGGCACTATAAATTGTAAGCCCCACCAATACCTAGAGGGGCATTGAGCACACCTGCTATTCGTATTCATGTTGACGCACATAAATTTTGAATAAAAAATTTAACTATAATATTCTATTTTCACATAATTGAATTCATACTCATACTTTTCTACAAACTCAAAATTAACTTAAATAAATATAATAATAATAATAAAAAATAAAAATATATTTTTTATAAAATAATTATGTTAGAGCTTAATAAATAGTTACAAAAAATTAATATTTTATATCTATAATACTAGTTAAACATGTTAATTTCGTGTTACCATACAAACGAGAAAATGAAAAAAAATGTTTATTCTTACATAAATAAGTTGATGGTGTCAATTTTTGGTTTGACGGGTTGAACTGAATATGAGCCGTTTATATTTTGTGTTCGTGTGTCAGGTAATTTTTTAGTTCGTGTCAAATTCGAGTCGTGTCATCGTGTTGATCAGAAATTTTCACCTCTAGCTAAGATGGAAAAAATAATTTTTTATTTTAATTTTAATTTTTACTTTTACTTTTACTTTTTTAAAAAAAAATATATATGAAATTAGTGTATACATAGTATACGTAAATGTCAAAGGACATATAGAAAAATAAGATACATTTTAGTACAAATAATTAACTTTTCATCTATTTTTCTTTCGATTTTAGAGGAATTGATTTTGATGAGTTGAAAGGAAAACTCATTTATCCACTTTTTCATCATTTTCAAATATGATGTTTAATTGATCCCTTCAATTTTTTATTCTTCCAAATTTCCATCGGATTAACAGAGCATAAAAGACCTAGAAGGAGGAGACAAGCAAGAACACCAGATCTGGGTACTTGTCTCGTAGGCAACAAATGTTGTTGGGCATCCTTAAATTGATGCAATAGGAAGAGGAGAAATCCACAATCTGCTATGGGCACTGGACATTCTGACCTAGACGTGTTTTATTTCTATTATACCAAATTGACCACATAATTACTAGTACAAATTCCACTCGATCCGAAGACAGATTCTCAGACAAAAGCAAGAACCATTCATGAAATTGGGACACACCATGTGGAAAAGGAATGGCAACAACCTGCCAAACCAGGACAGTAAAAGGACAAAACTGAAAGACATGTTCTAGCGATTCTTGATAATCACCACAAAAGAAACATTCATTCTCAACTGGGATTTTCCTCTGAATGAGATTAACTTGAACAGGCAGAATATTAAGAAGAAGCTTCCACGCAAAAATCTTAGTTTTGCCAAGAAGAGATAGGTTCCACATGAAATAATCCCCATCCACATTGGAACGACTGCTCGAAGAACAAGAGAACTCTGTTGCCTATGCAAACCATGCTCCATTATCAGATAATAACCACTTCGAAGCTCGAACGACATAGGACCCCGACTTACATGGGAATCGGCTAGAAGATCTTCACACAATGGGATAAATAAAATATCCTTTACATCAAAATCAAGAAAAAGATAGATGAGCTTTGCATAGTCCCAGCATCCTCTATCCTGATCAATCAGAGAACTTACTACCATATCATCTGGGACACCCTGAAGAGGGGTTATAGCTTTAAATGTTAAGGCCGAGGAATCTACTTGTCCTCCTTAATTTTAATTGAAACTCCATTCCCAACCCTCCATCTCATACCAACACAAATTACAGCCTTAGAAGCAAATATACTACGCCATATATAAGAAGGAGCATATACAAGCTGACTATGAATGAAAGAAGAGGAAGAAAAATATTTAGCTTTGAGAACTCTCGCAAGCAAGGTATCTGGATTCTTGATAAGCTGCCAAGCCTATTTAGCCAACAAACTCAGATTGAATGCTTCCATATTACGAAATCTCTTTCCCCCTCTTGATTTTGGGACACACAACTTATCCCAAGACAACCAATGAATTTTATAAGCCGTAGTTGTATCTCCCAAAATTTTGTCATTAAACTATGCAGCTCAAGACATCAGGATGAAGGAATTCTGAAATATGACATGGCATACGTCGGAACAGCTTGAGCAACAACTTTGGTAAGGGTTTCTCTACCAGAAATCAATAGCATTTTACTCTGCCAGCCTTGAATCCTTTGCCAAACCCGTTGCCGAATTGAATCAAATATCTCTCTTAAAATTCCCAGCAATAGAAGGAAGCACCACTTGAGACACATCAATCTTTTAAATTGAGATTTGGTGAGAAAGTGAAATTTTCACTTTCCTCCAAAACATTTGGAGTATGTGAGTTGGAGGGCAAAGACATGAATCTCACATTGGTTCTTGGAGGTTCTTCATGGATTCATCTTCACCTATAAATAGAAGAAGAACTCCATACTCCACTCCAAGTCTCAAGGAATCATCTTAAAGAGGAATCCTACGTAATGAGAACTTCAAGTTATAATTTTGTATGTGTATATATATATATATATAAAGAAGAAGAAGAAATAAAAAGAGGGAGGCGATGTTCAACCGCGCAAATATCGTTTCGAACATGCTTTGCTTCTAGTACTTTTTCAGAATCACAGTTTTTGACAGAAACTAAGATACTAGGATATCGTTTTGTTTGAATGCAACCCATGTTCGAACGTGACTTACTCCTAGTACTTTGGCAGAAATATCATAATATCTTACAATTGAGATACTAAAAGTTGAGTTCAAAACCGACAGGTATTCTGTTTGAAATTAGTCTCTAACAACTATATTATTGCAGGTCTTTTAACGGGTGTCTTTTGCCATGGTTTTAAAGGGTTACACTCCTTCATTGAGAGAGGCATAGATAGGATTCAAATGTAAGAACACAGAATCAACAATTTAATCCTTCTTCTTCTCCTTGATTCAAAGCTTCTATATTTTATGATTTTCAATTTGGGTTGAGTTTTAATTCCAAGATTATTAAGGAGTGTAGTTTTTGATAATCTTAAAGTTAGGCATTGTATCACGGGGATAAAATTTCCAAGAGTCCATCTACATTATAAGTGGGAAAATTACTAGTTTGAAGATAGCGAGTGTCGCGCCTTACCTAGCGATCTATCTTATTCGATTTTTGATTCATTGCTTTTCTATTGCTTGAAATTATTTTACCACACTATTTTCTACAACATCATCCCCAACAATAGGCCAAAATTTATGATAGAACAAGACATTTAATCCATTAGGACTAGGACTTTTAGAGGGATGCATTTGATACAAAGCCTCCACTATTTCCATCGATTTTTTTTTTAACTTTTTTTGGGAGGGGGAAGGGAAGAGGGAGGGAGACTTGAATCTTTGACTTCAAGAAGGCAAAGCCTCTACGAAGTACTTCTTAACCTTCGGTACCACACAACGAAGCTCTTCGTCTAAATTAATTTTTATATATATATATATATATATATATATATTTGGGGAGGGAGGGAGAGGGGGAGGGAACTTGAACCCTTGACCTCAAGAAATCAAAGTCTTTATAAAACAAAGAGTACTATTGAACCAAAGATCCGTTGGTATCTAAATTAAACTAAGAAGGAATATCAGACTTATGTAAATCGTTGAAATAATGCACCACAACACTTTCAACATGCACCATATCTGTAATCCACCATCCAGAATCATCAAATAAACCTCTGATTTTTTTAGGTGGCATGCGTATGAAAAAAACTAGTATTTCTGTTACATTCTTTAAGCCAAGAGACTTTAGGCATCTGCTTCCAAAACATCTCCACAACTTCCAATAGCTGATTATATTATCCTGAATACATTTGAAATCCAATTTATTCTCCTATGTCATAGGGAAGTCTTGTAACAGGGAAAGCTTATATTTGTGTGCAACTGATGGCCTACATACCCAAAGGTATCATTCTTCCACTTTAATACACCAACCCTGCAACTCTGAGCTTTATGAGAAAAATTGAGCATTGGCTATGGAAACTGTAGACTATGACATGACTAACGAATAACATCTGAGCAATTGGGATTTGTGAGACACATAGCTTCAAAACGAAATCTCCTCCTTGGTCTATAGTTTAAGTACAACCTTTCCCCTGCTTTAGAAATACGTAGAAGATGCAGACTGTGATCTGAATCTGATGATGCACAAATTGGTATTGCGCAAGATTAAAAATCAAGTATATGAAGAGATGCAATTAATGAGCAATAAATAGGCAATCAATGGCAAAACAGTTAATAGTAGCAAACACACAGATTTATAGTGATTCGGTCCAGGTGACCTACTCCACTTTCGGGAATGATAGCGGTGGTCGGAGATCATTATTGATGAATAAAAGCCATCAGGAGAGTTACAATGCTTTGGGAGAGAGAAATTAGGGTGGTGTAGATAGGGCAAGAAGTAGAGATCTCAATGTGATGCCCTTCCATGTGGAGATACCTTACATTATATAGGTTTGGTGAGGTGGTGACGTGAGGGAGAGGGCACCTTCTATTTGGTAAGTGCAATTACGGTAGAATTTGATTTCCATGAATTCATATCCTGATATTCTCTCCCACGTGCTCCTATTCCTTCAGTCTTCCTGGATCCTGAGCTAGATCGGACTAGATCGGAGTGGCAGAGTGAGGAGGACGAAGAGGAGTCAGGGGAGCCGTGCCCTTGGGCGGAGCCAGAGGCTTGGGTGACCCATGTGGGCGGCACCTTCTTGGGTGTGTACTTAGGGCGTTGGTGAATTGGACCCCTTTTAGTGCCTTGGGCATTGGGCTCTTTTTTGGATACTAATGATTTGGGCTCCTCTTGGTTTATTTTTATTGGGGCTTGGCCTAGTTGATTTTGGGCTCGTCATTTGCCCCCTGTGCCCCAAGCCTCCGACTGTTCGCGAGATGAGAGGGTTGAGGGCATGAGCTTCTTCTTCACTTAAGTGAGTGAGAGTTTTCTTGTTCTCCACGGTGCCTTTTCATCTTCAGGGACTTTGTTGAATCTATTGACACTAGATGTTTTGTACATTTTTTGGAATTCCTTTTGTTGTGTCTGTTATTAGTCTTGAAAGAATCTTGCCTACATATAGAAGTCTTTAGACTTCAATACCATGAGAGGTGCCCATGATAGAAGGGGAGATACCATGGGTTTAGGCGGTGCTATGGGAGGCCAGCAGGGAGGCGTCTAGTAGGTCGATAGGAGGCAGAGCCCAGTAGGCTAGTAGGGAGGTGGTGCCCAGTATGCCAATAGGGGAGCGCCTGGTAGGGCGGCAACTGGTAAGGCAACGTCAAGTAGGGAGGTGCCTGGTATGGCGAACCTTGGTAGGGAGGTGCCTAGTAGAGTGGCGCCTCCTTACTTGACACTGGTACGACGACACCTGGTAAGGTAATGCCAAGTAGGGCGAGGTCTGGTAGGGGAGTGCTTGGTAGGGAGGCGCCTAGTAAGAGAACACCTGGTAGGGCAGCGCCAAGTAGGGCGAGGCCTGGTAGGGCAGCACCAAGTAGGGAGGCTCCTGGTAGGGCGGCGCCAAGTAGGGCAGTGCCTGGTAGGGGAGCACTTGGTAGGGCGACGCCTAGTAGGCCAGCTTAATAGGCGAACCCGCTTTTTCCAATCTTGCTTTCTCCTTAATATTTTCTCGATACCGTTTCTTTATACTGACATTGTCTCTTGTTAGAGTAGTTATCATATTTATCATATTTATGTTCTGTTCCTTTACTATATAAGAGCCTACATTGTGTATTCTAGGTTAAGGAGAATTACAGACATGTTTAGCAATAATAATATTCTCTCTTTCCCATTTAGCTCTTTTTTATTTGATCAAAGTTTACATGGTATCAAAGCATGGTTTCGATCCAAAATATATTGTAGCACCACAGTAATTTAGTTGGAGAGAATATATTCGTGGATTAGGGCTGACATCATCTATGACGATTTATTTTTTTGCTATTTTCTTTGACTTCTTTACTTCATATCAAGTCTAAGTAGTGCGAATAAAGGTTCTTGGTGTTGGGTTGTGTGATTTGAGGGCTAGTAATTGGTGGGTTGCTGATTTTTTTTGGTTTTAAGAGCTGTGAACAATGCCAAAAATATTGTTCACGCGCTGTGAACAGTGCCAAATTTAATGTTTACGTGATGTGAACAGTGCCGAATTTTAATTTTTAGTGCCATTTTTGTTTTATTGTTGTGTAAGAAATCTCAATTTATTATGGATATTTGATTTGCAAAGCTGTTGAGTTGATTTATGACAAACTTTGGATTATTTGGTGTTGGCTGCTTCTTTTGGTTCTAGTTTCTGCTTTTGGCTTCATTGGTGCCTTTTTGTTTCTGTTTCTGTTGAGTTGATTTATGGCAACTTTGGATTGTTTGGTGTTGGCTATTTCTTTTGGTTCTAGTTTTTGCTCTTGGCTTCACTAGCGCCTTCTTCTTTCTATTTTATGGTTGGATTTGTGCTCCCCTGTGTGTCGACTGATTGTTTCTATGCCTTCGTTGCTAAGTCTTCCTCGCTGAACCAATTGTTGCATAGATTGTTAGTTCTGGTTGTTGGGTTTGCTACTTCTTCTCTTTTGATGGTGCTTTTCGTCGTTGGGTCTTCCTCGTTGAACTAGTCGCTGAACATACTGCTGGTGCTTCTTTTTGCAAGGTATGGCTGCTTCTTCTGTTGCTGGAGGTTTTTGTTAGACAACTCCAATCCTTTAGGTTTGTTGATTTGGGCTTCTTTCTATTGGGCTGTTGGTTTGAATTTTCTTCTTTTCTTTGTTGGACTTTGTTTTGTTGGGCATTTTTGCTGGTGATTTTTGTTAGGCTTCTCCATTCCTTTGGATTTATCGATTTGGACTTCTTTCTGTTGGGCTGCTGGTTTGAATTTTCTTCTTTTCTTTGTTGGACTTTGTTTTGTTGGGCATTGTTGCTGGTGATTTTTGTTGAGCAACCTCAATCCTTTGGGTTTGTTGATTTGGGCTGGTGCTGATTTAGGCTTCTCTCTATGGGGCTAGTTCTGGTTTGGCTATTCTTCTATTAATTTTGGCTATTACTATTTTGGGCTATTGTTACTTTGGCTATTTTTCTTCTACTATGCTTGGGTTTTGACTTTTGGACTGCTATTTGGGTGTTGGGTTGTTGGGCTGTTGAATTTTGCTTGAATATTGAGTTGTTTGTTTACTTTAATATTTGCTTTGGATTGCTAGATTTTGGTATTATGGCCAGTGAAAATTTTGATTCTCTTCAGGCAATCAGTGTTAGATTAAAATGTGAGAACTATGTATATTGGGCTTATGTTATAAAAAATTTCCTGTTGGGTAAGGAAATGTGGAGTTATGTTAATGGTGATTCGTCAGCTCCAACTGATCCNGTTGCTGGTGGTTTTTGTTGGGCAATCTCAATCCTTTGGGTTTGTTGACTTGGGTCGGTACTGATTTAGGCTTCTCTCTATGGGGCTAGTTCAAGTTTGACTATTCTTCTATTAATTTGGGCTATTACTGTTTTGGGCTACTGTTGTTTTGGCTATTTTTCTTCTACTATGCTTGGGTTTTGACTTTTGAACTTTTAGGCCCTTATTTGCTATTTGGGTGTTTGAGTTGTTAGGCTGTTGGATTTTGCTTGGATATTGGGTTGTTTGTTTATTTTAATATTTGCTTTGGATTGCTTGATTTGGGTATTATGTCCAATGGAAATTCTGATTCTCTTCAGGCAAATTTTGATTCTCTTCAGGCAATCAGTGTCAGATTAAAAAGTGAGAACTATGTATATTGGGCTTATATTATGAAAAATTTCTTGTTGGGTAAGGAAATGTGGAGTTATGTTAGTGGTGATTCGTCAGATCCAACTGATCCTAAGGTCGANAATTCGTCAGATCCAACTGATCCTAAGGTCGAGAAATTTGTTGACTCAAAGAATACTTGGAAAATTAACAAGCTGATTGGGACAGGCCGTAGAAAATGTGGATTGTATGTGTTGGAGGAGCTCCATGTTCTAGATGTTGTTGCCTCTACTGTTGATTTATCTCATTCTCCTTTCTTTTGATTACTATGCAGTAAGCAGATTTCTTCACAAAGTCACATTCTATCACTCGCTTTCTTTTTCTTCTTGGCAAACTCTTGATGTTTTCTGCTACCACATAATGAGTTTGAGGGAGGGTGTTAGAGTAGTTATCATATTTAGATTTAGGGGTAACTTAGTCGTTTGTTTTCTTTTATGTTGCCCTACCTTAGTGATTTGTTTTGTTGCCCTACTATATAAGGGCCTACATTGTGTATTCTAGGTTAAGGAGTATTACAGACTTGTTTAGAAATAATTATATTCTCTCTTTCTCCTTTAGTTCTTCTTTATTTGATCAAAGTTTACAGAACTAAGCAACCACATTCCTATTCTGAAATTGCACCTTTAGTATGTATTTATCACCATAGAAATCAAAGCTAAAATATAAGTTTCTGAAAGAGGCAAGGAAATATTGTAATGGATGCAAAAACCAGAAAACCTAGCTAACATAGCAATATAACTAATTTGCCTTTTTTTAGTTTGTGTAGCAAATGATATGTTCTAGTTTCCATGCTCTAGCTCCTGCAAACATGTCCCAAATCATTTTCTACCACTTGCTTATGCTATATCCAATTCTACTTCGCTAACCCTAAACTTGAATTCCTTAATTGAAGAACCAGAGAGCTAATCAATGAATAAACCATTAGATAAATAAAAGGTGTTGTTCCCCTGCCAAGCCATTTTTGTAACTGTGAACTGCTAACTTTCCTTACCATCATATTCATATTTTAGCTTATGTTGCATGCAAAAACATGTATCATACAAGAACTTATCTCCACATACCACAATAGTAATATACACATTATAACCTGATCTAAACACAAACCAACCAAGAAAGAAGGCACCACCCCCATGAGTCGCATCAACCATTCACTATAATTTCACCTGCAACAATAACAAAGCACAAAGATAAACAGAATGGATGTGAAACATCGTTTTAGTCATGTTGTTGACTATGTTCAAGGACATACCATTAGGGTGGAGGACCTGGCCACTCATGTAGGAGGAGTCTGAGTTCGAGGCAAGGAAGACATAAGACGAAGCAACCTCAATAGGTTGACCCGCCCTCTTCATTGGCACTTGAGACGCAAAATTCTTAACCTCTTCCTCGCTGAATGATGCCGGAATCAATGGAGTCCAAATCGGGGCGGGAGCTACCCCGTTTACACATATGCCTCTGTCTGCTAGCTATAGTGCAAGGTCCCTAGTAAATGCCACAACAGCCCCTTTAGTGGATGCATAGTCAAGTAGCTTAGGATTTCCTTTGTATGCAGTAACTGATGTGGTGCTGAGGATGGAGTTCCCTCCTTTCATGTGCTTCAAAGCATGCCTATGATCAACATTAACATAAGCTCCTTGAAAAAGATATAGACATGACATATTTTTAGCAACAATTTTATAAGAAAGTTTTGACAACTATGCTTCTTAAGCAAAAAGAAAGTTTTTGAAGAAAAAACTCATGGGATTTTGATATTAGAGGTACAATAATATTATTTTGACTTAATTTGCTAAACTAAATCATCACAATCATTGGATTGGTAAGGAGTCCTAACAAATACTAGGGTGTTGGGGAAATTAGCATAATTTTATATAATTTTAATTAATAAATTCATATCAATATCACATAAATAAACACAAAATAACAACGAACTTAAAATATAATAAAATAGATACTACAAATTAGAAAGAGCTGGCATGCGAGTTCGAGAGTCGTGTAAAAACTGTCCTAAAGTAGCTGAGCCTCCCCGCGTGAGGATACTGACGGACACCAGCGACTCCAAGATCAAATCCAAACGCTCGCAGCAGCATCTCCTCAATGGTTACTCCCACTAGAAGAAAAGGGTGAACCTAACTCGAATTGTATGTTGCCCAAAACACAAAATACTTGTAGTAATATAATTGTAAATAAAGTTTAACAAGAAAGTGGACTACTGGTTGAATGACAAGAACCATAGAGAATGGCCTCCAATAACATGCTTGTATAACCATTGTGATTTGTAACACCCAACCCATTAAAATCATATATATTTTAAATTCATGAAATCAATAGCCAAATAAATCTTCAACCTTGTAACCGAAAACTTTAATTGAAAGTTTTAAAAACTTCTTTATAATTCTAACAATCCCCCACAAGTTTTTAATACTTGAATTTATATATATATATATATATATATATATATATATATATATAGAGAGAGAGAGAGAGAGAGAAAATAAGAGCGACATTAATATTATGCAATGAGTGTAGGTGTCTTCCGGACTTGAACCTCACTTAGTGTTAACAGTTTTTCCCTGAAGGATCATAGTGACCAAAGGTTTGAACTAGACCCTTTGAGCCAGAGTTCAACTATCACACACATAGTATCGACATTGGTCAGGATTCACGGATCAATGCGTTTAATGGTCATGCACTTGATCTTAATTCTCATGAGAGTTTCTAGAGAATAGTCCAATTCTCATAGTCGCGGTCTCACGATTACTCTCACTTAAGTGAGCCCTCCAAGGGTACATGTACACAATACCCTGCAGTAGTGTTTCTGCCTCTGTCTCATTTAGGGCAAAATCCTTCCTTACCGGCAAACTACATATGCACCTCTGCTATAGGGATGAGTATGAAAATTTCTCCTCTTAGGATATTTTCTCAACAACGGTGCTAATGAGTCACGCAATATGGATTGTTTCTACCCATTGAACTTTCTTTATGGTGTCCCCAATCACAGAAGTTTGGTTACCTCTCTAGGTGACTCCCTTACGGGCTTAGGCCCATCCCCCTCGATAGTTCTTGAGGCACAACTTTTCTCAAAAGTTTGACTTTTCTCAAAAGTTTGACTTTTCTCAAAAGCTCATTGATGAAATTAATCATCTTTCATATATTCATGTCTCATGACTTTCCTCGAAAGTTGTATAATTATTTGTCAACTTTGTTTAACTGCTATTTATAATTTTAATATAGAATGATCATTCTTCACAGATGAATGTCTCATTCGGACATGTACTCCTTATTAATTCCTCTATTTGATATTTGACTTGACCTGTCTTTCAAACATCAAAGATAAACACCACATTAAAATGTATTTGTCTGAGAAGATTTTAAATGCCAGCATAGTCAATAAAGATCTCAATAGATCATTGCAATCCTCATTACAAACAAACATATAACGAAACCATCTCATTAAGAAAATTCAAATTGCGAATCCAAGAGATATCTTTTTCATTGTACCCCCACATTTCCAAATTTTTTTTTCATGAGTGTTACTAATGCTTTAGATCTTTATTTAAAATTTGAGCTAAGTAATTTTTTCAACTTGTAATTCATAAATTGGCATTTGAATCACATTTCTCTATTACCAACACACATAGTTCGTGTGTTATAATCATATCATCAATATACTAGTATCAAGCAGTAAAGCTAGCAGAAGTAGCTTATAGCATGTCATGACCCAACCAGAATATATTATATCTCTCAACTTTGTAAAAACTTTACATAGTCTTACTAACTGGAGAATAAATGCATGTTAAATTTCTAATCACGAAAATAGGTCAAATGTCGTAGCTTGGTCAAACAAATTTAATTCATAAATAACACTCCTTATTGGGTTTCTAAAATCACGTTAGTGTACTAAGCTAATTTGGTGCTATAGTACTTTTGTAAANACTCCTTATTGGGTTTCTAAAATCACATTAGTGTACTAAGCTAATTTGGTGCTATAGTACTTTTGTAAACCCGGTAAATTTCATCTTTTTACAAAAATGGTAAAACGGTAATTTGTCACTACAGTACGGGTTAAAAATTTAAATTTTTTTAGATCTCGAATGACGAAACGGACCTTACCGTTGGATTCATCTCACGAAATCTAATTACCCTGTCAAATTTCATCGAATTCTGAGATAGTCGGATTTTTTACGTTTTACGAGACAATCAAGTCTTGAGTGACCCCAAAAACGAAATTTTAAATAAAATTTTAAAAATTAGAAAATTATTTAAGGTAAGTTAAAATAAAAAAATTATGAACTTAAACCAAGACAAAATTTAATCGTTTTGGGGTGAAAACGGACCCAAGAAAAATAGGGTCGTGTGGCGAATTGTGAGCCAAGTATCGAGAAATATAAATGGGGGGAAAATCTAAATTTCTCCCCCACAAACACACTCAGCCGTTACCCGATAGAGAAGAGANTCTACCTTGGATGGCATTACTATCTAAAACCATTCAACTCATGAGAGCAACTAATAAAATCCATAAATAAAAAAAAAATTCATTCATCATACATAATATCTACATCATCATCCAAAAGAAAATGTCAAACCANGCATTACTATCTAAAACCATTCAACTCATGAGAGCAACTAATAAAATCCATAAATAAAAAAAAAATTCATTCATCATACATAATATCTACATCATCATCCAAAAGAAAATGTCAAACCATGGTCATTACATCCAAAATAATATGCCAAACTATGGCAATTACACTCCAAAAATTAACTTTTATCTTGCGGCAGAATAAAGAAAATATCATCCATCCAATGTCTCAAAATGAATCCCTAGTCTATAACATAATCAGATCAACTCTAGACATCCCCTTCAGGATCCATGCTTCCATCCAATTGAGCATCCCAAGCTACTTACTCATCAACTCTGAGCTCTTCCTCTAAAATGAAATCTAAAAATAAATATTATTTGTAGGGGGTGAGCACTAAGCTCTGTAGAAAAATCCTCTCAAACTCGAAAAAGGTTTAGAAAACATATAAAACCCGGCGGTCTCATTTTACAAATATCATATATGAGTTTTGAAAGAAAATAGTGATAGTTCATCCGATTTCAAGTTTATGCAATATCAATATATAGAAAGAAGAAGTAAATCCTATTTCCAAACCACAAACCATTTGTAAAACCCGATAACTCTAAACTTTTTACAAAAAGGGTAAACTGGTAATTTGTTGGTATAGTACGGGTTAAAAATCTAAATTTTTCTAGATCTTAGATAATGAAACGGACCTCACCATTGGATTCGGCTCGCAAAATCTAGTTATCCTGTCAAATTTTATCAAATTTTGAGATAGTCAAATTTTTTACGTTTTACGAAGCGGTCGAGTCTCATGTGACCCAAAAACGAGATTTTTGAAAAAATTTCAAAAGTTTGGAAACAATTAAATGTAATTAAAAATAAAAATATTTGGAACTTGAACCGAGACGCAAATCAATCGTTTCGGGGCAGAAATGGACCCGAAAAAAAATAGGGTCGTGTGGTGAATTATGGGTCAAGTATTAAGAAGTATAAATAGGAGAAAAAAATCAGATTTTCCCCCTATTCTCTTGTCCAATAGTTAGCCGATAAAGAAGAGAGGGAAATAGAGAAAGTTCTCCACCTTCTCTCTACGATCTACGACTCCACGGTGCTTGGATCCACTCGGGCCAAAAAGGAAAATGGTTCTCCTCGAAGTGGGCTACAAAACCATACCAAGGAGGTCAGTTTTGGGCAAGATTCCAAGGATGGGATTTTTGGGAGGAGAAGATTCTAGCCTGAATCGGGTTCTTGGAGCTTCCCAACGTGTTCTTTACGTTTCAAGTTGTAGGGTTCCTTCCTACTTGGGTTTATTTTGCAACCTAGGGTGTTGCATGTAATGGGTAGGTTGATAGAGATATATTACTTGCTTATGGATGTGAAATTGATGAAATGGGTATAGAAAAGGTTTAACAAATGAATTCCTAGCTTGGAATTGATAAATGTGGTGATTGCGTGTGTAATTCCATGGAATTTGATACCTTGGGGTTATTTGAATTTGCCCTACAGTGATTCATGAAAAATTTGTATTATGTGGGCATGCTATGCATTTAATTTATGCTTTGAAAATTAAGTGTGTTATTGACATATATGAAATAACATGTTCATGGATTATGGTTGGATATGAACATGTTGATATATGTTTTTTGATATATTAACATTGAGATGAAATTTGGCTATTATATGCATATGATATGAGTGGCCTTGAAATATGAAAATATATGTTAAAGTTTCTCATATGGCATTCTTTACATATAGGCACAACATGGATTAGGCAATGGTGCATTATATTGCATTTGCAAGGGGGAAACACATTCATAGCCATGAGTGTGGGCGTGGGTGTGCATGGTTGATATCAAATACCAAATAGGTCGATGATGGTGGGCTAGGGAAAGTTAGATTGAAAATTTGACTAAGTTACACACGGTGTTATGGATAAAGAATTGGGTCAGAGTTAGTAAGAAGGGCTAGACAATCCCTCTGGTGGGATACCTAGTGATTCGGATACGCACTTCTGTTGGTATAAGAGCCCATAAAGTGTGTCGGTGTATGCAGAACCATTGGTGGAAGT